AGATCAAGCTCGATTTCACCAGCTCCTTGCTGAAGCTTTCGTTCAGTGACGTTTTTTTTTTTTTTTCTTTCAAGGCGGAGCTAACCCTTCCCCTCACCAATCAGCAATCAGTTCGGGAAACTCGGTTTCTCTTAATTACTTATAACAACATAAATAAATATTACTTAATGAGTTTTTCCTTTTAGCTCTTCAGTAGCATGAATCAACTATTTTATATTTTATATTATATTTTATTATTTTATATTAGACACTTACTAGAATATTAGATTAACTATCTGGGTTACACTCTCCCCTCTTAAATGTATGCAGGTCCCTCTGCATGCTTGAATTCAGATGATTTCAACAGGAGAGTAATTTCTTGAGGGTCTCAATTCTTCCAAAGAGGTAGTAACTGCAGTACTCAGACTAGAGAATAGGGACTGAATAACTGAACTGAGAGGATTACCCAGCTGTGGGTAATTAAGTCTCTGTGGAGGTTCACAGTGTCTTCCTGAACGTCTGAGGCCTTCAGTCTCATTTACTTCACTCTGGTCCCTTTGAGACTCTCTGGAAGTGCTACCTTCTCTCTGGATGGAATGGTGACCCTCACCTTTCCTACTTGAATTTTCAGATGATTCACTATGTGCATCTGGTTTCCTTTGATCTCTTTGAGCAATTCCTTTTCCAGATTCATCAACTGAGCTTCCAACAGGAACTCCAACTTCCAGCCGATCTGATAGATTACTCTCTACTGGTTGCTCTTGGATAGGATGATCGGCCTCTTGTGCATTAAAAGTTTCCACTTCAGGTAAATTTCCATTATCAACAGGTTCTGTCGAAGCAGGATGTCCTTCATCCTCTTCCATCACAGGTTCAGCACCAGGTAAGTGGACTGTTTCTCTACTCTTGGTAGGAGGAATAGGTTTTGCATTTGACAGAATTCTGGTTTCAATCCCAAAGGACCTTCCAGGGATACGATATTCAACTGGGTCATCTTCATATTCTGAACGTTCGCTCATACTTTCAAACTCTTCCACCTTCCCAGCACTTCTAGTTTTAGGTTTCAGATTCACTTTTCTTTCAACAAGCTTTTCAGGTGCACTTGTCGACAGGAATCCACAAGGCAGCAGCAGATCCCTGTGTAGAGTTCTCAGAGGTCCATCCTTCCTTTCGGGCTTTACCGTGTAAACCGGTAAATCACCTGCTTTCTTTATTACCACATAAACATCGGTTCCCACTTATCTGCCAGCTTGTGTTTGCCTTTTAGACGGACATTTTTCACAAGCACACGATCGCCGACTTCAAGAGTGGAAACAACAATGTTTTTGTCGTACCTCTTCTTATTTCGTTCCGCTACCTTTTCAGCATTTTCCCTTGCGACATTGTAGCTGTCTTCCAGTCGGTTCTTGAGATCTTGGACATACTTGGAGTGGGATTCAGTCTGTCCATCCACAGGTAAACCAAACGCAAGGTCAATCGGTAGTCGCGGTTGTCTCCCGAACATTAGTTCATATGGAGAGAATCCTGTCACATCACTCTTTGTACAATTGTATGCATGCACTAGAGGTTTGACATAATCCTTCCATCTTGATTTTTCCTTGTTGTTTAAGGTTCCTAACATCTGTAGAAGTGTCCGATTAAAGCGTTCTACCGGATTGCCTCTCGGATGGTAGGGGGTGGTTCTAGTCTTGGATATTCCAGTCACTTTGCACAGTTCTTTAATTGTGCGAGACTCGAAGTCTGTACCTTGGTCACTATGGAGTTTTTCTGGGAATCCATAGTGCACCAGAAAATTATCCCATAAACATCTGGCTACTGTCTGGGCTTTCTGATTCCGTGTTGGTACAGCAATGGCGTACTTGGTGAAGTGATCAATTATCACCAGTATGTCTTTGGTGTTACTTCGGTCTGGCTCTAGTGACAGGAAATCCATACAAACTAGCTCTAGCGGTCTGCTGGTTCTGATATTTACCAATTGAGTGGCTTTCTCTGGAAGAGTCTTTCGTTGAATACAACGCTCGCAGGTTTTGATCTTCTTTTCCACTGCTGAGCACATCCTAGGCCAAAAGAATCTTGATCGAATGAGGTCGAGAGTTCGCTCGATCCCCATGTGACCCATTTCATCATGGAGTTCTCTCAAGACCATATCACGAAGGTCAGCTGGCAATGCTAGTTGGTACGACAGATCCCCATGCTCTTGTCTCCTCCTGAACAGTATGCCATTTCTCAACACCAGACGATTCCATTCTTTAAACCATGGAATTAATCCAAGTGGGGTAGTCTTAAAACAGGGCTTTTCTTTGGATTCCAGCTGTTGAATGACCATTCTGACTTCGGGATCTATTCTCTGTCTTTCTCGCAGTTCTCCTTCAGACAGTTGGGGGATCTCTGTGAATTGGTAAACATCCTCCCGTTGGAACACTTGAGGCAAGGCATCTACATCAATAGTTAGAGACTCCACTAAGGTAACTGAGGGGTGTGAAAAATCAGGATCATCACAGGGCCGGCCAATTTGATGACGCTCACAGATAGCTTTTATGGTTTCTTCAGAAACAACTCTTGAGGGTTCTCCTGACAAGTGATGGTGAGTAAACTGTCTAATTGTTTCTCTCTCTTTCTGTGTCTCCAGATCATCTGGAACTTCTGCTTGTGGCCGCATCCTGGTTTCTACTCCCAGCTCGGTACTGTATCTTGAAAGTGAATGTTGACAAACTTGACAACCATCGGTAGCTGGTGGCGTCTAATTTTGCAGAGGTCAAGATGTAGGTCAATGGATTACTGTCGGTTATCACTGTGAATTCAGCCTCATACAAGTAATCATTGAACTTGGTCGTCACAGCCCATTTTAATGCTAAAAATTCTAACTTGTGAGCGGGGTATTTTGATTCACTCCTCATAAGTCCTCTACTTGCAAAGGCGATGACCCTCAACTGTCCGTCTTACTCTTGGTATAATGCTGCACCAAGTCCAGCGGTGCTGGCATCTGTGTGCAACACATACGGGAGTTTAGGGTCAGCAAATCCTAAAACTGGAGCAGAGGTGAGTTTCGCAATGACAGTATCAAAAGCCCTTTGACAATCTTGAGACCATCTTTCTCCAAACTGTTCCTTCGGGTTGAAATATTGCTTTGTCTCCTCAGCCCCTTTCTTGCGGCCTTTCTGCAGTGGAGGATACCCGGCAGTGAGATCATTAAGGGGCTTCACAATCTTCGAATAATCTTGTACAAACCTCCGATAGTAACCAGAGAATCCAAGAAAAGATCTGAGCTCCTTAAGATTCTTCGGCCTCGGCCAGGTTTTGAGGGCTTCGACCTTTGCTGGGTCAGTTTCAACTCCATGCTGGGATACAATGTGGCCCAGGTATCTAACAGATGTTTGGCAAAACTTACACTTCTCAGGTGAGAGTTTCAGTCCAAATTCCCTTAATCGCTTGAGCACTTGCACCAGCCGAGCTTCATGTTCTTCTAGAGTCCTTGAAAAGACTATTAAATCATCAATAAACACGAGCACTTCCTTCCGATTGAGATCTCCCATACAGCGTTCCATCAATCGTTGGAACGTGCTAGGCGCGTTCGAGATTCCTTGAGGCATTCTATTAAATTCTCAGAAACCTAAGGGGCATACGAAGGCGGTCTTCTGCTTGTCAGAATCTTCCATTTCAATTTGATAGTAGCCCGACTTCAGGTCAAGGACTGAGAACCATCTTGATCCGGTTAAAACTGAAAAGGCCTCTTCCAAATTAGGAAGGGCATATGCATCCTTGATTGTCTGGGAGTTTAACTTCCTGAAATCAATGCACAATCTCACAGAATTGTCCTTTTTTCGCACCACGACTATAGGAGACGAGAAAGGAGATTCGGACTCCCTAATGACCCCAGCTTCAAGGAGCTCTTGAAGATGTTTCCTGACAGCATCCACATCTTGCGGGTGAATCGGTCGAGCTCTGTGCTTGAATGGCGTTTCATCACTGAGCTTTATTCGGTGTTTCACTTGGTTAGTGTGACTGTAATCCAGATCATGTAACGCAAACACATCAGACATGGAGTTTAACAGGGATGTTATTCTCTTTTTCCACCCTGGTGAAAGAGGAGAATCTCCAAAGTCAGTTGGAACCCTGGGGAGATTTGCCTCCACCCCCTCACTTTCAGCGTCAACTTTGGAAAACTCTTCCTCCACACGCTGGACTGCATGGACTTCAGCTAATACGGTCTTCGGGAGAATCACTAAATCACTTTGTGTGTCATTCCTCAATATGACTGGTAACAGTGCAAAGCGTTGCCTTAAAGGTAGGCTGTGCAAGCAGCTTGCCACTAAAAGACCACCAGGTAGAGATGATGTTATCGGTGGCTCCACTGACACCCATCTCTCAAAGAGATGACCTTTCACCTGAACCAGTCCTTCCAGAACCACTGTGCATCTTGCCGGCACAACCTTTTGCTGGTTCCCCTTCAGCGTCACACATCCCACAGCTCCACTGGAAGCTTGCCGTTTCCTCTTCTCGAGTACATTTATCACAGCTTGATAACCATAGCAATGTGGCTTGAGAATATTTCTGTCCCCTTGCATGCAGTTAGTGTATAACACATCAAGTGAATTTGTACCGATTAGGACCTGTGGTATGTTCGTCAAGTCAGGGACGATCAAAGCTAATGTTGGGACTTCTGCTTCCTCCCCAAGGAAATTCTTAGGAAACTTCAAATTAAGTTCGACATAACCCAAATAGGGTACTGCTTGTCCATTAGCTCCCTCAACTTTTAGATGTTCCAAGGATTTCATGGGGTGCTTGCACAAATATTTGTCATAGTAGGACTTAGGAATGGTTGTCACCTGCGATCCTGTATCTAGCAGGCAGTTCACTTCTCTACCTTCAATTTGGATTCTCACGGTGCACCTTGTTCCTACTAATCCTGTAGGTAGTCCACAACATTGAGACTCATGAGCATGCTGGTGAAACAGATATCTATTCTTCTTAGGACATTTTTCTCTTCTTCTAGTCTCTGTCCGCCCTGTGACAGACAGATTTCAGTTTAAAGGCCTCAAGTTGGAAGCATTCTGGAGGTCCCATTTGGCCTGTCGCTCTCTTAGCTCGCGTCGCTTCTCTTCAACTTTGTGAGAGTTCGAATCATTCTCACAGTTAACAGCAAGATGTCCATCGTCTCCGCAATGGAAGCAATAACCAGGACGGGGTCTGCTGTGGAACTGCCCGATTGGTCTAAAACTCGTATTCATCTCAGGCCCCATTGGCTTGGTTTGGTGTTTCGCAGGAAAAGTGTGCAAAGCTGGAGACTTCTCTTGACGTTCCCTTTGAAGTCTTGGAATGAAATTAGCTTGGAGCTCAGCTATCTGGTGTCTCAATTCAGAGAACTCCTCTACAGTAGGGCTCCTCCTTTCTTTGCAAACCGGCTCTGTCTTCATCATACTGATCTGGGTTTGAAGTTTTGAAACTTCCTTCTTCAGGATTTCCACTTCAGACTTTTCAACTTTACTTTTTGACTTGGCTGACTTCTGCTTTGCACTTGCCCGTAACTTAAGTGGAACAGGAGCATGTCTGTTCAGTCCAAGGTGTTTCTTCATCCTTTCTTCTTTAAGAGATTGCTTATCTTCCGCAATGCGGACAAGCACCACAAATTCAGTGAAAGAAAGAGGTGTGACTCTCTTTCCTTCTAGCTGTAGATCAGTGATTAGGCTGTTGTCCCAGCAACCTCTGCAAAATTGCTTAAGGAGACAACGGTTCCTTTCAGCCTCAGCAACACCACCTCGTCTAATCGCAGCACTAAGCATAACATGAAGGCGATGGAGGTAGGTGGAAGGTTTTTCTCCTTGATTTTGCAGGGCACCAATGAACTTTGCAAACAATTCGTCTCCGTCTTCCACTGAGCCATAAACAGACTCCAACAGCTTCAAACACTCTAAAGCCGAGGCAAATGGAGCGACGTGCTTGACGACATCCGAAGCTGGAGGCAGCAGACTGTCAAGAACTTTCCCAGTTTTGTGCAAATCAGAGAGAGACTGATCATTCAATAAGAAGTCCACACTCGCACGGCAGGTGTCAAAATCTGGTTCATGGCTGGGGCGAGGAATTCTTCCTGAGAAGGCTTTGAGACAAAAGGAAACATGTGAAGAAGTCATGGAATCACTGGTTCTTACCACATGCTCCATTACTACTCGTTGAATTCCCGGCGGATTCAAAGCACTGGTAGGTATGTTCAAGGACATGATTTCAGCTTCAGCAACACTAGCATCTGGGCTCCTAGGTTGGTAGGGTGACTTTGCCGGCGTACTCCTCTTGGCAGGGTTTTCAGGTTCTCTCATATGCATACCGCTGTCATGCACAGACTGTGCAATTTCTGGCTCAGGTCTTGAAGATACATTTTCTGGAAACATCAATGCAAAGATCTTCTGCAGCTCACTCTGCAACACCACCTACAGAGTTTTTCCACTGTCTCGAGCAATGGCCTGCAGGTTCTCCAAGTAACCTTCAGTAACGTCGCTACTTGTTGGAGGGATGTACACACTTTCTAAGCTGCGCACATAAAAGGCAACGGTAGTATCAAGTGTACTTCTAATGGTCATGGGCAATAAGGACTCTAAATTTTGCACAGCAGATTCACAAGAGAATTCCACAATGGCGCTGCGGTGGTGCTCAGATTTGGGATCATCAATAACTAAGCTGCGCCTGATGGATCCATATCTCTTCAAGCAGGCTTCTAATTCTTGATCAAGATCAGAGAGGGTTAAACCGCTCACAATGACTGCTTTCTGGACATCAACGTTTTCACCTTTCACTATTTCCATGACTGAACTTCTACAAAGAGAGGGTGAGTTTACCACTTTTTTTTTTTTTTGTTTTGTTAATTTAATCTTTTTACCACCTATTGTGATTATCAAGTAAGCTTATAACTATTACACCATACTGTACTTTTGCTCCTGGCTGGCTCGCCAAGTTTTGTGTAGCGCGAACTGGGAAGCGTTTTAAGTTCATCGGGAAACTCGGTTTCTCTTAATCATTTATAACAACATAAATAAATATTACTTAATGAGCTCCGATCCGCCCGACTCTCCATGCTCCCGCTTCCTGCTCTTCCCCATCCGTCCCATTCCCTACCGAGCCAGCCTTGATCTTCCCTCGTGTCCTCTCCCGGTGTCTCCTGTCAGCGTCCTCGGACAGACCTCCCGTCTTACCGACCACACCGCACCCGACCCGACAACGAACACGGATTTCCCCTCGGCTTTGGTTTCTCGGACTGGACGGACCTCGGCTTTGACCCTGCTTGGACTTTGGATTGCTCTTTGGTTTTCCCTAATAAAAGACTTTCGAACCCTGCCCGGGACTTCTGTCGTGACACTGACCATATGACTCAACGATCGAACCATGGGATTGGATAATAAATCTGTATCAAGGTTACGTTATTTGACTGAAAGATACCGCTGGTGTTCAACAATAATGTTCAGCATCACTATTCATGTCACACTTGGGCACAAAGGGAGCCAGAGATGCAGGGACAAGGGATCTTTATTGTAAGAAGCCTAGGACAGGCACCAACAGGAAATGCCTTCAGGTATCGAGGGAGCGATGCCTCCAAAGCCAAGGTACTGACGGTGATCGCCGCAGGGAAGCGGGCAATCTCTGAGGAAAGGAGCCAGAGAGGAAGTGCCGAAGGGATATGCAAAAAACGAGGTCCAGGTCCAGGTCCGTAAGCGGGGTTCATTACTGGGGGGATCCGTCTGACGGGAAGGTACGAGGACTGGACACACGAGGAAGGGATCACGGGATATGCCGGGATCAGCGGGACAGGTAGGTCACTGGCGGGAACTGGGCTGAGGAGAAAAGGTAAGAAGGTAAGGATGACATGCACGGATGACAGGCAAGGTAAGGGAGAGCGGTCAGACGAGAGACAAGAAGAACGCTTGGTATGGCAATGGAACATTGGCTCAATACTTCGCAAAGGTGATTTGCGATCGCTTCGCTTATAAGGCAGGTTGATTGACAGATGACGCTCTGCACCTGTCGGACCCCGCCTCTGTGGGCGTGACAATTCACAATAAAAAAAAAAAACAATATATAAAAAGCATAAAGGGTGTCGATGCTGAATAAACACGCGTGTATATATAGTTCTTATTTTCTTTACTTAAGCCAAATTCATGTGCATGAGTATCAAGGACTACATCACAGTTAACAACAACTGCAATATTACCAATACAATCACACATACAATAAGCATGAGTAAACTTGCATATGTTGTTGTGTAAACATCAAAGTTAATAAATATCTTAGTTTGTTCTTTGATGAAAGACATATAGTTTTATTATACAGAAATGCAATAATTTACTGTTGTGATAAATGATTTCCCCAGTAAACGGCGTGAGGGCTCTTGGCATCGTTCATTTGAGTCACCGACTGAGTGTCCGAAAACCCGTAAGTTCGATTCGTTCATCGAACAGGTTCTTTTGAGTCACCCTGTGTCCGAAAACCCGTAAGTTCAATTCGTTCATCGAACAGGCTCTTGGGTTTTTTGGAGTCAACGAGTTAGAGACCAGGGGCCTCATGTATAATGATGTCCGTAGAATTCACACTAAAACATGGCGTACGGACAAAACTAGGAATGTGCGTAAGCAAGAAAAAATCCAGATGCATAAAACTTTGCGTAAGCACAGATCTACGCACATTCCCTTTATAAATCCCAATGAGCGTGAAATTTTATGTACGTGAACGAGCCCACAGCCACTCCCCCGACCCGCCCATAATTATGTATATTTGCATATGTAAATCTGTATAAATACCCGCTTTGTTCTATGTTTTTCTTAAACAACAATGGATAAACCACGTGGGAAAAAGAAGTATTTCAGCGAGTGCGAAGTGGAGGTCATGTTAACAGAAATCGAGAAAAGAAAAGTGATGTTATTTGGTGTTTTAAGTAGTGGCATCAGCAATAAACGAAAGTTGACGGAGTGGCACAGCGTGGCGGAGTCAGTTATAAGTGTTGGTTCCAAAATTCGCACGGTGGCCAAAATTAAAAAGAAGTGGTTGGACATTAAAATCGACGTGAAAAAACGAGCAACCGCTCACCGTAAGAGTCTTGACAGCAGAGGCGGAGGTCGCGGAATTCCCGGGATGCAACGAGTTGCTGCAATGATGTCAGCGTGGGTGAGTTTTTCTCATACCGTACTTGTTTGAATTACTTGCATGTTTATGAATAACACGTAGGGCGCAGATGCGGTGTTACTTTCATTTATTCTTACAGACAATAGTACAAGAGGTGCCCCCAGTGCCGAGGACGACACAGGCGGTGATGGTGCTGCTGTGCTGAGCAAATCTTTGGGCGCTGGCTGCACACATTCCCGTGCCTCAGAAACCGGGGGGTAACCGTGTGCTGACTGAAGCTGTGCTGCAGTCACAAAAAGAAATTGTGAATGCTGTAAGATGTTGCCAATGAATTAAAACATCTAAATGATATGCTGTGTGATACTGAAGTTGTTTATTGTATTGTATTCATTGGTATGTTTGTACAGTATGTCTTTAGGTGTTAATATTACATGTTCTATGTGTATGTTGTTTGTTTATGTTAGAACTTTTGTGACTTAGTGCTGCCACCTTGGCCAGGACTCCTTGTAAGAAGAGATAATGTATCTCAATGGGACATTCCTGGTAAAATAAAGGATAAATAAATAACACTGTTTCATTTGGCAGAAAATTTGGTGGCTCAGGGTCAGGTTCATCGTGCCTAAGCTCTTCAGATACCGGCAAGCCACGATTTTGTGCCAGATTATGCAACACGCTACATGCGTGTACAATGCAACACATTTTTGCGGACTGCATGTGTAGCAGCGTCCAGGCAGCGCCAACAGCCTTAAAGCTGCCCTACAGTGCGCTCCACCACCGCCGAGGCCGAGAATGGGGGGCAGCATTAAAACGCCGCTCCTCTTCATTCTATGGGTTTGCGAGCAGCATGAGAAGCCACGACTTCAGTGGGTACCCACTGTCCCCTAAGTTGTCAAATGGTTAAATCAAACAAAGCTTGCAGTATTGGGCCAAATTATAAAACTGGAAAAATCTTCTTACCGAGCAGCCAGCCATCACGTACCACCCCATTTTCAAGTTTGTTTCCAACACTACTGTTTCTGAAAATGAACAAATCATGGGTTGAGCCAGGCCATCTAGTCACAACATTAATGCATGGGCGTCATAAGCATTTTGAATGGGGGGGACACACTGGTGTAAAACTAATGTTTTTTGATAAATGTGGGGGGATCCAAACGAATAATTATGAAATGTGAGGGGGACACGTCCCTCTCAGATTTAATGGCAGCGACGCTCATGCATTAATGAGATGTTCGAATCGCACATATTTTGTACATTAATAGAGTGAAAGTGCTTTCTATTTACATAAGAATAAGCAAATTCGTTCTCTGAAGGTGCCTTTATAGCAATGTTTCCGCACTGTCGATGGCTCTGATTACATTGTGAAAACCGGACATTGCTGCAAATTGCGCTTTAATCTTTGCCTATATATTTGGGTGACAAGCGGATTATGCCGTCCCATATAGCTGTCATGGCGCGACTCAGTGTTGACTGAGAAATACCCGATCGGTCCACAAGTTCTCGATGAAAAGCACCTGTGGCTAAGAACCCGCGAGTGGAAAAAACTAGCTATGTCTTCCAATAACGCAAGAGCTGCCATGGTAGTTGTAATAGTTCGGTCATTTTCTGCACTGTTTTATTGTTACAAATTGATTAAAAATCAGGTGCCGTACATTTGTAAACATTATACAATTAATGTCGGTGTTGTAATAACCCGGTGTACAACCGATTGATACCACCATACAGGAATCGCAGTAAAGGAATGCTTTATTGGGGAAAACTCAACTGATTCGTTTGTCAGCCTGCACTCGCGCTCTCTGAACTACCCTAGACAATGGATAACACCCCTAATGGTGAGGAGTGGTATTTCAAGTAAAATATTATATAAATAGAACCATCAGGATACCACATCCCTCCCTTCTTAAGAGTAAACTACTCAGGTTAACTTTAACACTAGTTATCGGTTTAAACTGCTCCCGAATTATACTGGACAGTGAATTTGTAATTATACCATCAGGTACTACTTACTATAACAAAATCACACAGGAAACACTATTACATTGTCTTAAGTGTTGACATTAAATATATATATTTTTTTCAACAACATTTCAGTTCTTAACATTACAAAACAACTCCCTAGGAAGGTGGGTAGACTACCATCCTTCCTGTGATCCCAGAGCACATTCTTGCTCATAAATGGGGAATCACACTACTTGTCTTACATAATCTTCCAGGTAAGAAGGACTCTGTCTGGCACGCTCAGAGCGGCGTAGTACTGGCAGTAGGTCTGCTCCCACATCTAGCGTAGTGTCAGCTGGAAGGTGAGGCTGGGCTGTCTCAGTAGACTCTGTCACCTTTCCTCCCACCGACGCCGGGACAACAGTCTCCGTAGGCAAGACCCCCGCAGCTTGCTCCGGAATATTAAGACTGGCTGGCTCTACTATGACCTCCGGTCCAGATGAGCCAGCCATGGTCGCAAGCCGTTTCCTGATTTGGTCAACATGACGTCTCATGCTGCGTCCATCTCCCGTCTGCACCAAATAAGACACTGGTCCAGTGAGTTCTTCAATGACTGCGGGGACCCACTTTGGTCCGTGACTATAATTACGGATGTACACATCATCACCAGGGGAAAAACTCCTCCACTTGCTGTGTGTGTCATGTTGTAGTTTCTGTTTGAGTTGCTTCCTGCGTATTTTTGACTTCAAGTCCAGAAGCAGAAGATCCAAAGTAGAACGTAATCTCCTGGACATCAGCATTTCAGCTGGTGACACCCCTGTGGTGGATTGTGGGGTAATCCTGTAACTGAACAGAAATCTTGCTATTTTTGTATCCATGGAGTCTCCTTTGATTTTCTTTATGCCTTGTTTGAATGTCTGCACGGCTCTTTCTGCCAGGCCGTTGGATGCCGGATGGAAAGGCGCAGATGTCACGTGCTGTATACCATTTTGCTTCAAGAATGTCTGAAACTCTTGGCTGGTAAAACAAGTTCCATTGTCGGGTACTATGGTCTGGGGTAAGCCGTGTGTGCTAAAACACTGTCTTAGCTTCCCTATAGTAACTTGACTAGTTGCGCTCTCCGTTGGATACACGTCCATCCATTTGGAGTGTGCATCTACAATGATTAGAAACATCTTGCCCAGGTGTGGGCCTGCATAATCAACATGCAGTCTGCTCCACGGTGTCTCAGGCCACTCCCATGGATGAAGTGGTGCCCCAACTGGAGACTTCCTGTTTTCCTGGCATGTGTGGCAAGACTGTACTTCCTTTTCTATTTCTGAGTCCATCCCTGGCCACCACACATAAGAACGTGCTAACCCCTTCATTCTGGATATATCTGGGTGCGTGTGGTGCAGCTTTTTCAAAATTATGTTCCTTCCTGTCTTTGGAACAACCACTCTAGCTCCCCATAGTACACATCCATCCTTCACGCTAAGTTCCAGCCTTCTCTGGCTGTAAGCTTTGAACTCCTTTCCCACCTTTTTAGGCCATCCTTTCAGACACCAGAGTAACACTTGAGAGAGAGTCTCATCTTTAAGTGTCCACTGCTTTACTTGAGCTGTTGTGATTGGTGGATCTTCCATCACCTCCAGCATGAGGACCTGCTCTGTATTGTCCTCCTCTTCCGTTTGTGGCAGTGGCAATCTGCTCAGCGCGTCTGCATTTCCATGTTCTTTGCCTGGTTTGTAAATGATTTTGTACTCATAAGCTCTCAGGAGTGTCACCCATCTTTGCACCCTTGGCGACCCCATCTGTGGAACTGGCTTCTTCTCGTGGAAAAGCGATATCAGCGGCTTGTGGTCTGTGGTAATTGTAAACCGCCGTCCATAGATGTATTTATGGAACCGCTTGATCCCAAACATGATGGCTAACCCCTCCTTGTCGAGCTGTGAGTAACGTTTCTCAGCTGGGTTCAGAGTGCGGGACATAAACCCTAATGGCTTTTCGCTTCCGTCTTCCATTACATGAGATAACACGGC